GGGCGTCCGAAACAGAACTTTGGACAGGCAAGTGACTAGAAACACGCACAATCAAGACCTCAAATCACAATTTGTTGGACCTTCAAGCAAGCAACCTATGACAAGTTCGTTCTACCCTCCAAACGGAGTTCGGACACCACAAAAACAGGTTTGGAGCCATGGCTGCAAACTCAGCATGGTAAGTCCCGAACTTGGATCTCGGCATGTGAGCGACACACTGGCTTTTTGCAGCCCACCGAACCAAAAAAACAACTGCGAAGAACGCAGTAATTAGCCCTGCCTTGCAGAGCTCCTTCTGGCTGTCCAACTGCTCCACCGCCGCCTGGAACCGCGTGAAAAGCTCCTGACGCCGAACCAAAGTCCCGCCCTCCAAAGCGCTGCTCCTCCGAAAAGTAGCAGCGATTCTTGAACATGAACAAGACATGATTCTTGGTGGAGAGCCAACATGAAGCTGACCAGCTGCAAAGGTGCTCGGTTTTGACACGTGAGACTGTCTCTCAACCGGGTGGAGAGCCAACATGAAGTTGACCACCTGCAAAGGTGCTCGGTTTTGACACGTGAGACTGTCTCTCAACCGGGTGTTGCCTCACTCCCAAAAAAGGGGCCTGGACAAGGACACACCCCCAATTGACTCACTCCATCCAACATCTCAATGCGTCAAAGGCGGTTGCCACAAATCTGTGTCCATCATCCCATCATCCCCGTCCAACCCGTCCAACAAGAAACTCACTTGCTGAGTGGACTGGCCAGCAAACAGTATCCAAACTTCTTGAACATGGTCCGAACCGAAAAAGCATGAAGTCCATGAATGAACTCACGAAGTGAGCAAAACCCCCAGGTCCTGATGTGTGCTCACATACGCCGTAAGCTGCTCCTGGCGAATGGAAACCGGCTTCGGCTTGCCCGTGGGCTGCTCAAAATGGAGCCAGAGGAACCCCGAACCTTGTGCATGAACCAACCCTCGGTTGCTTTCTGCTCCCCTGCTAGAAGTTTAACTTTTAGTGGTTTAATGGAAAACCCACTAGTTAGCAAAAACTTAAAGTCCTAACATCCAAGCAAAACGCACCAAAGAACCCCTAAGATCCCAAGACGTGCCCTCACAATCCGGTCTTGGGATAAGGCAACCAAAGTCGACTATAGTAGATTTGGATACATTCGATTCCTTGTTCCCGGGCTTGGAAATTGTTAGGGCATCCGTATAGTGAGTCATATTGAAATAGCAAGGATACCCGACCAAGAAGTACAAGTAACACACAATCAGAGGAAAGAACCGGGAAATGGGTGGGCCACGGCTACAAGCGAGCGTCGTAAGTCACCCCACGTCGCGTTAAGTCACCCCATCCATCCCCAGCCGCTTGGAACTACGCATATCCGCTTAAGTCACCCCATGGGTTTAAAATCACCCCATTTTTTGCAAAACACAATGGGCACAGAACTGGAAGGGCGATGTTGCCAACCCCAAGAATTCACCGCGCACTGCACGCACATCCTCAAAACTCACTGGTTTGGGTTCATGTTGAATGCTTTTCCCAGGCAAAACCCTATTGGCACACTGCAATTAAAGGGTTCCTATCCTTCAAACATAAATAGTGTTTTCTGTTGGTTCCCCCAAGGCCAAAGCGTTCAAAAGCATTCCTGACACCAAGTAACCGGACCAACCAGCCAGCCCCCGGCCAGGGCTAAGCCAAGCCAGGGCTAGTAAAAAACAACCGGTTCCGGGCCGGAACACCCGACAAAAGGGCTGCCGGCGCGAGTGCCGCGCGACTCTGCGCGAGTGCCGCGCGAGCGCCGGGTGAGCCGTGCCCTCATCCCAATGAAGTGGCAGTGAACATACACGCATGCACACGGCACATGGAAGCCGACCAAATGTTGATGTTATGAATCTGGGATCTCATGGGCACCTTTCTGTCAGGATACCTCGAGTAGAACATCATACATTTTGCATGCGCACAGCACAGAATTGTGCGATTTCAGAAAATTACATGCTTGAGACAACTATCCTTACATCCACAAACACAACGGGCACACTCACCCGGGACGACTTAGATCAACCCGGGACGACTTACAGCACTTACCCTGTAATGCTAGATCTGGAGTCAATGCCACAAGGTTTCCAAAATAATAACAGCAAAAAGCACTAAACAAACTCAAAAAAACAATTGGGGGGTCTCCACAGCATTCCCACTCCAAAGTACCATCATGTGCACGTCATCTAATTCCGGTTCCACTTCAGTGCAACAGGACGCTGGACGGATCCTCGGACTCCTGGGAGGGAGGGGCTGCGCGAAGTTTTGATCTGGCCCAGTATGTCCAAAGATGGGGTTTGAGGATACCAAGAGGGGTACCAACCCAACAAAACAAAACCGGAGTAGTTGTCTTGCCTAGTGGTTGAGCCTATACATCGACTTTCGCGATCAACTTGCCTAGTGCTGCCAGTTCCCACTTTCGATACGTAACCACACGCTTTGCGCGGAAACTTCCTCTGGTTACCCACCAATTAGTACTTGTAGCTGGAAGCAAGCACTGGGTTGGAAGTACCTGGAGTCTCCATGACCCTTGCAAAATAGGTACATGACCCCGTTATGTTGGGTAATGACCCCATTTTTAAGGGTCATGAAGACTCTAGGTAGCTCTCTCTCTCTCTCTCTGTCTCTCTCTAAACCGCTCGATGAGGCGTCGGTCGCTTTTTTTCCTCGATCACGGCTCGAGCGCGGCTAATGCGGCGCAGCTGTTCCACAGGCCTTCAGCCACGCTTTGCGCAGACTCCTGAAACTCCAGAATGAGCACACGACTGGCCACTGACAACGGCAACAACAACCACGACAAAAAAGCAAACAAGTAATTACTTCAAGAGAGGAAAAAACAACTGTAGCCCACTCACCAAAAATGTCTCATGACAAAGGGGTCGCTCGCGCCATTCCTTCGCGCAAAGAGGCATTTTCGCCATGAGACCCAGTCGTTGGAGACCCATTTCTTTCTCACTTGGACCTGGATAAATCAACCAGCAACAAGAGTGCCGGTGCTCTAAACCCAGAAGTATTTTCTCGCTAACTTTCTCATTTGCCGGATAAAAAAAGAAAAGAAACACAAGGTGAACCGTGTGGGGCTATGACAATGACTAAATATCCACCAACAAGGGAACTCAAAGGTGAATAAAGGTCGGCTTTTTGTTGGGTCAACGTTTGTGGAAAGGCGGCTTCGCTCACGGACATGCTTTGAGTTATAGCCAATGCCAATTAATTAATCTTAGCTAGTCTGAAGTGGTTTCACCTGTGTCCAATTGCGGGGCCTTCGCCACAAGTGCCTTCGCGAACCTTTTGGGTTTCCCCCGAAGCTAAAATTCGCAGCACAAAAAGCTGCTCAACTCCAGACAAGACCTCCCTTGTACCCACATTTCAGGGCAAACAAAACAACATAATAGTGATACTTACCTTGCGGGGGGTTCTCCCTTTGAATGTACTTGCTCCAAGAAATAGGTGTTCTGATAACTGCACACCTGATGGTTTGGTGAACCCTGGCAACCCGAGAAGTCCCACCCTGTTGAACTGGGACGTGTCGCTCATGGAAAAGCTGCGTGGGAACGCGGGGCCCGGTTGCAGCCGGAAAGCGGCGCTTGCCACTGCCTGGGGGTGCAAGCCTCTCGCTTTCGAGTTCAGTCAAAGGGATCCTCAAGGAACCTTGAGTTCATTTCCCCCGAGACCAGGAGCTTCTGACGCGCACACTTTGTATGCCGTACTGCCCAAACTTTGCTCTGTGACCAATTTGGAGCCCATGATTTTGCGAGAAGCAAAATCGCTCTAATAAAAACACCCAGGGTAGGTGTCGAACATTGTTTGGTTCTCCTTTTGGCTGCCCTTTTCACTTTTGAGTGGATTTGCAAAGAAAAAGCCAAACTTGTTGTTTACCACTAGCCTAGTTTTTTTTCTTCCTCCGAAAGCTTATCTCGCGATTTGCTGCTCCACCCATAGCTCTGGCGTTCGCCGGACTGTGAGAGCCCGCGGCTCCACTCGCGCGCGTTTTTGGTTGGTTTCTTGTGTGCCTCGAAAGGGCGCTGCGAAAGCGGCTAAAGCAACCGGGAACCGGTTTAGTTGGATTGAGGTTCGTGCGGGTCGATGGTTCGATTGGTCTTCTGGACTACTTGAAGTCTCTACACTTAAAACCAAACGGAAAGGTGCCTCATAACATTCACAAAACCAAGCCAACCGATTGGTTAGTAAGAATATGATAAAACAAAGGCAACAAAAACAATGGCGCCTGGCACTGGGACTTCATTTAAAAAACACCAACAACACCCTGGTCATGTGTTGTTCGCCTCAGATAGCTCCTTCCTCAACTCAGAGTTCACGAGTAACATTCTTCGGCACGCTCTTGCTCAAAAGGCGAAAGTGGGAATTGGTTCACCTCTTGGGTCCATGGCCGGATCGCGCGAAGAAAAATTGCCCAGCTGCTATCCCCAACAGCCCCGGAGCCTACCTGGGCTGAGACTTTGACAGCAAGCTCTCTTCTGAACGCTTACTTTGGGTATGTTTCTTTGATGGGGTCTTCTTTGGGGGGGTGGCCGTTTTGACATGAATCATGAAATCAAATAGCCAAGTGATAGGATGTTCAGATTGGATTGTTTTGAAGGTAAGCAAATTTTGTTTTTGGACTAATGGTTTTGAGCGGGTGTCAAAGCCTAAACAAGTTCCTGAAACACCTTTATACGGTGCTTGGGATTGGTGGCTTGGGGACTTGAATCTTTGGCTCTTCAAGAGGCTGAGTGGGAAACCACCCCCGAACCTCCAATCCACCAATCCAAACCACCTGAAGGACAAATGGGCTTGGCTCAAAATTAAACGATCGGAGGGGCAAACCGCAGGTTTTGGTCCATGTTTCCACTTACCAGGGCAACCCATTTTGGGGACTCCGGTTTTTTGAGCAGCCAAATGAAATTTCGCAACACTTTGGGTCCGTTTCTGCTTTGAAGAACCCATTTTCCCGAGGCCATCCATTTTTGGACCTCACGACGCGTCCGCTGGGCGCGAGCCTTTGCGGGTGCGCAAAGGCAGGCAGACCCCACAAAAGGCTTCGGTTTTCTCTTTCGGCTTCCCTTTAGCCCCAAAAAGGGTACCCTGAAAAGACACCCATCCATGTGGGTCATGGTCATGGCTCCCTCAAAAGAAAACCTTGCCATGGATATCTTGGATATCTAAAATCCCTCAAAGGTTGATGACTATCCTCCCAGCCCCAACTATACGTAGGCTTGTTTTTGTTTTTTCCTTCACAACACGTAAGAACTAGCACCCTACAAGGGCTGCTTCAGCACTTTGCACCGAACCACCATCCCTGGTGGGAATGGAGATGGAAAAAGGGTTTGCCTCTTTTTTGGGAGGGGGTGCGTTTTCTTGTTGGGGTTGCTTCAAAGAAAAATACAAAGGGAAAACCAGCCGTGTGTGAGTTAAGCTACGCCCCGGTTCCATGAAGGGAGCTGTTTGTGCCCATCTCAAATGAACGTCTGCTCGCCTGAAGGGCCCGGTGATCCCCTTTTGGCAACCCGCTGCATAAAACCAAAACCAGTGGCCCGCAAAACATAGCTGTGCACAAGCAAATCTGGCTCTTGAAAGACGGGTCTGTGTGGTGTTTGTACGGACAATTGCCACTAGTTGTGTCAACCGTGTTTTTGAACGTTTGTTTCGCGGTCCACATTTGCATAACCCGGTTCTTGTCAGGTTGTTCGGAAACAAAAACGGAAATTCGTTGGTTGAGACCCGCTTTCGTGCGGAAAAATGGAAACAGTGGCCAAAGGGCCAAGGGAAACCATGGGCGGCCCAAAAGGTTAAAGCAGTCGATGGGAGTTGCTGGCAATCGAGGACAGGTAGCAATCTGAGGTTGACTCATCTCGGGGGGGAGTACATGTTCGGATTTGCTGGCTTTCAAACCTTGGTTGGAAATGGGGTGCCGCAAATGGATCTCAGATCAGCTCCAGGACATTCGAGCATGTGGTTTGGGACAAGCGCGCGTTTGCCTGGACGTTCCGGTAGGTGCCAGCAAGATTGCACAGGAGAGAGCATGAGCCTCTAAACTGAAACCACAACATGATTCAAAATGATTCAAAATGATTGATAACCCCTGAACATGAATCAAAATGATTCAAAATGCTCACTTTGCTGGACCCAGTGTACTTCACTGCAAGAGGGTTGCTGACAAACAAACGCACATTTAACCCGTATCCCTAGGTTTTGGGCAACCTCTGGAAAAACACGACTGAGCCAACAGCGGCGTTTCTCAACGGAAACCCCTGGGGCGTCCGGGACTGGGGACTCGGGCCGCGCCATGCGGCGCGCAAAGCCGGCAGGAGCGATCTGCCCAGGACCTGCGAACTGCGAAGTGGGCGCCTTTTTGGGCCTGGAAACGAGCAGCAAATGACATGCCACCCTCAAACTATACAATGAACATGGGACATCAACTCCACTTCCTGGCCCGAAGAAGCTCAAACTGTTTTCTATGTATTACTAAAATGTGGTCCAAACCTGAAAGGTTGAAAGTTCAGGATCTCAGTGAACCAAAGCAATATCCTCGCAAATGGATGTTCCCATGTTCTGCCCACGTGGTACCGTGGAAAGTGGGCAGGCAAGTCGTAAATACCGGAGATTCTCATGGCTACTCTGATTGCGGATGAATAAACCTAGCTGATTTGGATCAGGTGTGGTCACCTGTGATCCAGACCTCTTATGGGAGCAAAGGCTTCGCGATGAAAGGCATCCCCGGGGGCTGGGTATTCATCCTATGTTCCAACCATTCAACCTTTGGGTTGAAACGCAAGAGTTCGATCTCCAAGGAAGAGCAAGGCCATGTCCAGCCAAAAATTATTCCTATGCTTCCCCCAACGGCAACAAACTCAATTCGAATAGGCAACCGCAAGGCGACGTTAAACACTAAGGTTTTGCACACTACCCCGAGGCGGAATCGACATGTTTTTGGGGGAGCATGTTGTTTTGCCCCATTTTCTGACCCTTTGCCTGTTTCTGGCTGTCAGGTGACCTCTGCACAGATGACAAATGCAATGTCCGGACTGCCTCCGGCCCCACCATCGGAGGTCCAGATATATAGTTCACCTGCAAACACCCTTTGCAAGCCATTCACATTCCCAAGCCGGAAAGATGGAGATCCCCAAACAAGCCCTCATTTCCAAAGTGATCCCAGTGATGGCACTGGCCCAGGGCCCCCAGATGTAAAAAAAACAAACAAACAATCATCCTGGATTCTTACAAGGGGACACCCCCCCCCCCAAAACGAGCCAACCACGGGAAGGACCCGAGGGCCCCGTCTCTTTTTGAAGGTCTCCAAAGTGGGTCGTTCCAAAAGGAACCAATGGCAAACCAGCTAGTTTGGGGATCCCCCTTATCTTGAGGCAAACCCCAGTGGAAAACCAAGAGGGCGAAAGCTTTAAACAAGCTAAGTTGAATTTCATAGACCGGACATAAAACAAAATAAAATAACCTGGGCTGTCCTCAGATCCCCGGCTAAAAGTTTAACTTTTAGTGGGTCAAATGCAAATCCCCGCTAAACACTAAAGCTAAAAAGCTACGGGTATGGCTGGGAGCCACCAAGAAAAGAGACAAGAGACCAGACCTCCCAACGGCCATCTTCCGGAAACCGAAACCGAAGCCGGCCTGGCGGAAGCCCTCGGAGTACCGGGCCGTGTCCGCCAAGGCCTCCGGATGACTTGGGAACGAACGAGGTCCTCCAGTACTGGGCGCTAAAAGTGACTAACTTTTAGTGGGTTTAATGGAAATTACCACTAAACACTAATTAAAAGGCTAAACAGCTAAGGGGATGGCTGGGAGCCACCGAGATACATGGTTGTACCAACAAAGGTACTTATAAAATCACATATTGGCTTCAAATGACTTTCCAGGGTGCTTTTTTTTCTTTTCTGTAGTCTATCTTAGTAGGGAAATCCTTTTCCAAAAAAGGGTAAAAGGGCACTACTGGGGGACCTAGTCAAGTAACTGAAGCCTACAAACCACGAAGCGTTCTTGCTGACTAAACCGGCCTTCCCGCAAATGAAAAAAGAAATGCAAGGCAAATGGACAAGCCTGCTCTGCCCAACGGACCTGCAAAAGCTCACCTTCCGCAACCTTGACGAATGATTTAAGTACATGGGCATTTTTGTCCGGTGGCTCACCATTCATGGTAACTGGAAGACAAAAACGGGGCAACACGTTGATTCCTTAAAACAAATTGCAATTCCGTTTCACTTTTGGGCACTACCTGAGGCCTAAGTTTCCAAGCGGCTCAGCTCTCCTTAGGCCTGGCACTCGATCAAAGCTCTGGATAGCAAACGGGATGCAGGATCGCATCGATTCCAAGACAGTACATGAAAGTCTGGCAGACCCTTCAGGAAGTTCGCCCAAATTCTGGCTCTTGCTATGGGGCGAACCTCCTGTAGAGCGTGGAGCTGTCTCCTGGGATCCAGGCGACCTATGGCAGCTGAGCCAGAATCATCCTCTTGTCCTAAATAACATCGACCCGAATCTTACTCAAGTCCGTGCAGTTTCAAAATGGAGGGTTGGCCAATCCTAATCCATAATCCTTGTGACACCCACTGCAAGGGGGGTTCGCCCCTTCGTGACGAGCTTTGATTCGGGATTGCCCATGAACAGCCCAGGAGGTGACTTGCTAGGCTCAGTGGGGAATGCCCACAGTTTGGAAATGAACCGGAAACGGATTCCCTTAAAGGAAACCAAATCGGGGCTGGCTTAAATCGGGATCACTCCATTTTCTCATTCCCTGTCTATCCAACAAGCAAGAAAACCATCCCCCACCCCATCCCCAACCATCCCGACACCCTGTAACTCGCCACCCACCCACCCACCCACCCACCCGCCCGCCCGCCCGCCCGCCCACCCACCCACCCACCCGCCCAAACACAAGCAAAACCTTGATGTCCTATTGGATCCATCCCCCGGGCTCACTCGGCCAGCGGCGAGCACTCGGCCTCGCGCGCTCGCTCGCTCGCGCCTCTTCGGCCTGCGCCAGAAGCTTCGGGCCGTGAGAGGTGAAGTGCGCAGCAACCACCTAGCGGCAGCCCGGGCGGCGGCCCACGGATTTCTACGGGGGACGGCCCAAGAAGGGGACGCTACCACCCGGAAAGTGCGGACACCAGACTCAGTCCGTGGACAAGATACAGCCATATTAGCAACAGACTGGGTATGTCGACCGAATTCTGCCTCTTAATGGGTATTCCTAGTGAAAAGTGCCAGTTTGTGCGCTAGTTGCTTGTTGATTTCAACTAGAAGCCCCTTCCACAAGGACAACAGGAAGAGGCTCCGGCTTTAAACAAAACTAAAGGTGCCCCCTGACAAGGTCAGACGATGCTCAAGCACATAAGCCTGGGATTGGCATGCCAACCAAACACAAAACAAACAAACCAGCAAGCAAGCAAGCAAACAAACAGACAGACAAACAAACAGAAAGACGGAAAGACAGAAATACATAAAGACAGGAATATAGAAAAAGAAAGGAAGAAAGGAAGAAGGAAGAAAGGAAGAAAGGAAGAAAGGAAGAAAGGAAGAAAGGAAGAAAGAAAGACAGAAAGAAAGAAAGAAAGACGGACAGACAGACAGACAGACAGATACACAGACACACAGACAGACAGACACAGAGAGACACACAGACAGACACACAAACAGACAGACAGACGGACGGGCGGACGGACGGACGGATGGATGGACGGACGGACGGACAGACAGACACAGACAGACACAGACAGAGACAGACAGACACAGACAGACACAGACAAACAGACAGACACAGACAAACAAACAGAGACACACAAACAGCCAGATAGACACACAGACAGACTAACAGACACAGACACAAAGACAAACAGGCCAACAGCAAGACAGACATACAGACAAACAGGCAAACAAAGAAACAAACTTGCAAACAATCAAAGAACACACAACCAAACAAACAAACCAAAAACAACAATCAATCAATCGATCAATGAATCAACCAATAAATCAAACAAACAAATAAATAATCAAACAACAGTCCACCTCGCTTTCGGTGCGACGGTGGACTCCCCAGGATCTTCACCTCATGCCCCAATGACCTGCAGAAACATCGGTCCGATCGAGGGCCGCAGCTGATTGCCATGGCGTGTCTTAAAATGCGAAATCGCGGAAAATGACCCACAAGGCGGCACAAAGGTCTAAGAAAGCTACCTGGACCTTCAAACTACCCATAAGAATGGGATATCACACCACAATTTGGGGCTTTAACCCATGTTTAAGGGAGTTTTGAGAGGTCCAGGTATATGGGTGTGTCTCTTTTAGGGGGCCTCGACATGCAACATGGTACTATCGGAAAAAAAAAAAAAAAAAAAAAAAAAAAAAAACAGGCCCAACTGTGACTGAAGGTAGACCAACGGCGGAAAAGGTCAAAAGGTCGATTCGCTGCCACGGTCTGCCAGCCCTTAAACTCAAACACTGCGGTGCTCGCAACAATTCCCTAAAGGGAACTCCGCCCCCTCTGACCTGGAAGTGTTCTGCAAATGCCGCTAGGGGCTGGGACTTGGGATTTGGAACGTTTGGGTGCTGGTCAGGGGTTTTGATTCCATGCTTTTCCCCACAAAGGCACAACTCGAGTCAACGAAATTCCAAGGGTCGCAAACCCCCCTCCTGTTGCAATTCTAGCTTAGTCATCGTTCCTAAACCTAGCTATTTCAATCTTGCCGTCAAGGCCGAAGATGCAAGACATCACCAGTGCCGCAGCTGAAACCCACATTTTCCGCAGCCGCAATTGGTGGGGATTGGAACTCCTGCTTCTTGTAGGGGGTAGATGGGAAACCTCGCCCGAACCACCAAACCACCAAACCACCAAACCACCAAACCAGCAATCCACCAATCCACCAAACCCACTTAATGGGAAGCTGCACCATGGGGCAGCTCAGCAAAACGCCCAAAGGCCCCAAGACGCTCGGGCCGAGCGGTTCGGATCCATCGGATCTTCCGGCCTCCTCGAAGCCCTTGGGAGGCTGCTGAAAGGTGTTCAGCGCCGCGCGCAGGGCGAGAAGCCGCACGTTCTCGTTGTACCTCTCCCAACTCCACTGAGAAAGGTTCAACAAAAACCATCCGAGCCACTAATGCTTCTCCGGAATATCAGGGGCCTAAAGAATTCAAATGGCGTAGGGCACTTCAAAACCAGGGTCATGATTCTAGTGGTAAACTGTTCATCATTTAGCCTGTACAAGATAGTAGGTATTCAGACAACAAGATCATGTAAAACCTGGAGGTAGAACAACTCTGCATGATTACAACAAGAAAAAACCGTGGTGGGAAAGCCCGGCAGAAACACCACAGCCGAAAGATTGGGTGTACAAGTATACGGTATACCTCCCAAATGAATCAAATATCAGATTTCGGGGGAAGCCTTCTGGGTGAATAACAACATTTAGTCACCCTGCAATTCGGGAGCTTTTCCCGTTGCAAATGGAGTCAAGTCTGGACTCGCAGCCGGAATCGGCAATCGGCGTTGCTCCAAAAACACAGGCCCCTTTGCAAGACATTTGGAATCGAAACCAAAGGAAGCGTACCCGAAAGGAGATTTAATCATTTACTCACTTCCTGAGTGGAATGGTCAAAAAAAGCTCCAGCTTGTTAATTACCACTACAATGGTCTTCTCGAAAAGTGACTGACTTCCAATGGTCCAACCCAGGAAGTGAGTTTAGGAACGGCTCCAACTGACCCAATACAAAAAAGGCCAAAACGACCAATGACTGACTGGACCAACAGGGGGCCCCCACAAAGCACCACAGGAACTGTGAGCAGTGCCCAGCCATCGAGGGTCGAATTAAACGCTTCAGCCCAGTGATTCCGCTGCCCTGGTAGGCAACAAACCAAAAGCCAAGCTTTAAACACTCATGAAGGAAAATGCTGGTTACCTACTACAGTAAACTATAGTAATCCTATTTAACCGGGATTCATATGTGCATAAGGTTTATGAAGACCTCCCTATCCGCACACGAGGTGGAACCCTGGCCGAAATGGCACCGGGAAACACACTGGGCTCCCCAGCCACAAGTTTAACTTGTGGGAGAAATGGAAGCCACCACTAAACCAACCAACAAGCTGAACAGCTAAGGGACCGGATTCCCCCATTCCTGCAGAGCCAACGATTCGACCGACTTGCCAATCGGGCACAGGGCGGAGGCGTTGCGCCCGTGCTCTGTGTTAGCGTCCCCTGCGCCAATTCGAATGGACAGCCGACGGCCGAGGTTTGTCCAGTTGGGCAAAATCATTTTCCGGGCATTCATTTGTCTCCTATGATTCCTGTCATCATTGCTACATTGGTGTTGAAGAAGGGTTTTGTATCCAATTCCTTGGAGACTGGTTCCAATTAGAGTGGCCCCCTTAGTTAGTGGAAACTCGCCTGCCTTCGCAGTCGGACATGCAGTTTGCATCGGCTGCATGTTCCGAAACGCCCATCATTCCGAGATGGTCTCGAACAGCAGCTGATGAGTTGAAGAACACGCCCTTATGTTAACCCCGGATTTATAAACCCCTGGTTGATTCATTTCGGGGTGTCCCCTTTTAGTGGGGATTCGGACAGGGAACACCCTCCTAATACTGGAACGGGTTCTACTTAGATCCTGGGTCAACATTAGTGCTCAACTTTGGTACAAAGTCTACGGAGAAGCGAGGGATCTCGCGCTCGCGAGATCAGGAACGGGGGAAGTGGTTCGATGGACACATCAACGGCTGATGAAGCCTTGCCAAAGGGAACCCGGCGAAAAATGGGTTGCGCCGTTATCCCCATGTAAATGAATTCCCGCACGGGGACCTGACAAATCATGAACCAACTATACCCAAATCCCATGGGTTGAATGGCTATGTATTGACTATGTGGCCTGTGGCTTCGGTCCCAACCGTGGACAACTATAACTGTGGCTCGACAGCCGAATAGAAGAGCAAGTGTTGACCACCTACAAGGGACAGGCTGGGTTAGGCGTGCTGCTAAAAGTTACACACATTACGTCACCGATACGTGACACGTATTGCTAGTTTGTGAGGAAACCCTCATATTCCAGAAACTTGAAGAACGACGATTGAAACAAAAAAAAAACGCCAAGTTTTGACAACCCTGCATGACACGACCGGTTCGCATTTAACCCCCCGCAACAAGTCACACTGGTTGCGCTTGTGGGGCTTTAAACGCATTTTGCAGAAGCATAAAACCGGCGAAATGTGTACTCAAAGAGCAACGATCCTCAAAAAGCCCAAGCAAACATCTCACTGGACCGACTTAAATTCTCTGACGAACGTTACTTGATGTCATTTGCGAAAGGAAGCCTGGAGGAACACCAGAAGGGCTGTTTGGGCAAGGTCTAAAGTGGGAGATGCTCTATTGATCGCCCCAAAAGAAGCCAAAGGAAGGCAGATGCATCCATCCGGCCCCGTCTTCTCTGCGCGTGAAGGGACGGGTCACTCGTATCTCAGCTATGGTTGCATCGTCAAAATGTCCAGTCCAAGCGCTGCATTCACATGGAGAAGGCCCGGGTGTGTCGAAAGGGACCAAACAAACATGACTAGTTTCCTGTTGGTTTCCCTCTAAACCGCCCCGCCCCCCCAAAAAAAAGAAGTGGGTATCCTCAAACAAGGAACCACACCCGAGGTGAGAACGGGAAGCACGAATTCCCACAACCGAGCGCCAGGCATTGGTGCCCAGGCTCGTTGAAGTAGGGATCCTGGCCGCTGTATGTTGGCGAGTCTCTTGGGACGAAGGAATCCATGAATCTAGGGGTTCTAGGTCCTCCAATGGTCCTCCAGTGGAGAGGTTAGAATACGGGTTATGTTTTGATCTGTAGTTTATTTTAGTAGGGGAACCCTCCCCAAAAAAAGGCCAAAAGGACATTCCTGCGGGGCCTAGTAGGGGTTGAGTCCCATTCTCTTCAACCAAAACCGGATCCGTTTTCCCTAGGGGTCCGGAGGTTTTCCAGAAAGAAGGATCCCTGGAAGGGAAGCTGCCCCTTGGAGACGGGGGCCGGGGACCGGGTTCTTTGTCTGGTGCCTAGATGGGAAAAGGCGGGAAGGGGTAGACCCGAAGGGTTGGACTACTCAACTGTTCGTTTATTGGTTGCTGCAACGACCCCTCGACATACGAACTGTTTCAACCAAAAGGCCTAAAGCCCAAAGATCCGACCAAATAGCCATAAATGACCATTCACCCCTGGAACAAGGGGCCCCAAACTCGGTGAAGCTCCACTGGTTCGGAGTTCCTGGTTTCTTTGGTCGACCCCTATCAATCTCAACCGAGCGACTTCCTAAACGTGTCATTTGATGTGTCGTGTAATTTTACTAACGCCAATAGCTTACGCCACCTTCCGCGCGTGGAGTTTTTGCTTACGCACAGGTCGATATGACACGATTCTTGCTAAATATGTACACAGAGGTTTTCTCGGTTGCTTTCTGCTCCCCTGCTAAAAGCGTAACTTTTATTGGTTTAATATGGTTTAATGGACAACCCATTAGTTGGCACAAAGTTAAAGTCCTAACATCCAAGCAAAATGCACCAAAACTTTGGACGCCGCTCAAGTGGTTCGTGGACTGTACTAACTGAACGTTGGCTATGCCAGCCAAGGGGGTACCCTCCAAGAAGGACAATTTCCATTTCGAAAAAGGCACAGCATTGGATCCCCGGGTATGAGTTGACCCATGGTAAGAAACAACTCACATCCGATCGAATGGATTGGGCAGAGCAAGTCTGAAGTTTTTGTTTGCCACGAAACTGGTCGCTAAGGTTCAGGCACTCAAGGAGTAAGACAATGATTACTCGGATCCAAGTAAAAGGACAGCTACTTCTGTGGAATCGCTCGTTTTTACCCCTATCGGTGGAATCGCTGGAAACCTATGAAACAAAACATCGGAGTGTCCTTTTAGGAGAGTACCTTTATTGCCTGGTTTTAAGGGAAACCACAAGAAAACCACCCATTTGGTCGTATTGGAAACCTGATTGAGACCCAGTTCGTTTGAGTCGTCTGTTTGGAAACCAAAATACACCATGCAAACATTTGCATTGTGCATCAAGAACCCGAAAAAAGGAGGTTCTGGCAAATAACCCGCTTTTCGAATCCAAAGCCTGGTTTTCGGACACTGTGTTTTAGATTACGGGTTCTTGCGGGATAATTACGGGTTTTGTACGGGTTAATTATGGGTTTTTAAGGGTTCTGAAATAATTATACACAAAAAACAAAGCAAAACACGGCAGACTCATTCAGCTGTGCAACCGAAACCGTTCGAATCCGCAGGAGCCTCCACGAGCACAAGGCCCTGCAGGGACACCAAGACCTGCTGGGCGGGACCCAACAAATGTGCCCACTGGATTGGCAAGCCGTAAGTAACCGCCCAATTTTCATCATTTTCGCTTGCTGCATGGGCGGTTCCCTGCGCCTACCGGAAATGGGGACTTGTTGTTGGCCCTTTGGGAAATGGAATCACTGGGCTGGGGTTCCTTGTAGTTTCCCTCACCAAGGTGCAAAAGGGTACAACACACAAGCCCACATCCAGGGACTCCCCTGCCAGCTCCCTGCCGTCCTTTGGTCTGGATCAGGGGAGGCCCCTAGGATAGCCGCCCTCGAAATCCGGTTCAAAAGCCGTGGGTATTTGTTACGGGACATACAAAAGAAAGAGTTCGGAAAATTAACGTAAATGGCTGGGTTTCTAGAAAGGTAAACCTCTCAAGAAAAATCCGACTCATGGCCACGTGAACGGAGACCTGAAATCATAATTCGTCAACATCAAACGCCGAGAAGGGTTGGGAACTAAACATCGAGATTTGTCGATCCCTTGCTCAAAGCTGATTGTTGTTTGTGGGATATGGGTTAACACCCGGCCCTCTAAAGCATAAATGTCGAAAGGCCTTTCCGACTTCGGGCCCCTCGAAGTGTAGAAACCGTCCTGCATTGGATCCGTTTCGAATCGTACGCGGAAAACAAACGACGGGTGTTAACCTTGCCGAATAGTTCTATATCTGCGTGGCTCACTTTCTGAGTGGATTGGCCAAACTCAAACTTAAATCGGGGAACCCTCACTGAAAGCTTTGTCAATCGCTCTTCTTGTTTCAGGCGAGACCCTGGGCATATCCCTAGTATCCCGGGATGGACCCCTTTTTGGTTAGCATTTGAAGGAAACCCAACCCTTTACGATTTGGGTGTGAACCTTGAAATGGGGACCCGAAATGGAGGACGTCAGAATTCGGTGGGGCTTGTGAGGTGGTGGTTCTCTGGTATAATCCATGGCCATTTGGGCCCATTTGTGGCTTTCTTTGAGGGGGCCCAAAAATGGCGCAACGCTTTTCCTTTTCGGATTCCCTTTAATTTAACAACCAGAAAATGCTACCCTCGGAGTAAACCCATTTCAAGGTTGCTTTAAAGACACTTCCCGAATAAAACCCTTTAGGGTTTCTTAGGGGCCTCCCTTCATCCCCATGCTTCCACCAAATCAAACAAACCCTCTTTTTTTACACGGGTCTCCCAAAAAACAGCCAAACCCATTCTGTCCGGGACCCGAAGCAAAACAACCCCAATCCCAGTCCACCCAATCCCCCAATCCGGATCCTGACTCCGACTCCGACTCCGCCTGCAGCAGGGTGGACTTCTCCGGGTCCCAGCCGGGGCCCGCCCAGGTGCCCAGCAGGCTGAGGCACACCTGGTGCGGCTTCCGCCAGCCGCGAGCGGCGAGCGGCGAGGCGAGCGGCTCGGCGGCAAGGCGGCTCGGCTCTTGGGCCGGGGAGTCGGGCCCCGGTTATGGCGTCGATGGGAAAATGGGGGCGGGGGGGGGGGGGGTTAAACGGGAAAAACAGTATATAGGGGTTTCCGTGGAATTCGTGGTAGACCCATGTAGACCCGAAGTGGGTTTGGACTACTCGACTGCGGATTTGGTAGTTTGTTTGTTTGAGGCGTTTGGCACTTTTCTAGGGGTTGAGGGGAAACCGCCTCAGGACAACCAAAATACATTGGCAAACTTTTGGAAAAACACCCTTCAGGTCCTTCCTTCTATGACACCCTGAGTTCCTCACCCACCGGGGTGGGTAAAATCCAGCAAGTTTTTTTGTTTTTTAATTATGATGGACGCCTTTTCGGGGTTTTGGGAAGAACCTCAGTCCTCAGAAGAAACGGCCCCCACCCTTCTGTCCACTCCCACTAGGTCCTCCGGTAGAGAGGTTCGAATAAGAGTGCCCTTTCTCTGAGTAGGGGAACCCTCCCCCCAGAAAGGGTAAAAGGGCACTACTGGGGGACCTACATTTCCCTGTCGAAATCTTCAAGCTCACCCCTTTGACCCTCCAAGCACGGGAGGTGTGTTCAGGGTTGCAACCGTAACATGGTTGTGTCCTGGCCCCCTGGGATGTCACCCTGTAAGTCGCAGGTTTCTGTGGTAGTGGACTTCGGACCTCTTATATAAATATACAAATATCACCCCTGAACTGGTTTGGGGTTTCTGGCGTTAAGCCCTAAACGTCAAAGGTACCCAAAAAGCCCCCACAGTACCCGCCTGCCCACGTTGCCAAGCATCCTGACTGAGGGGTTAGTCTCACTTCCTGAGTTGGCCAAACAAGTCCGATCTTTCTATTTAGCACTAACACGGTCTTCCCCAAAGCTGACATGGCTGCGGGTCAAAAAAAGGTGCCCAAGATGGCTTGCCTCGGAAAATGGCACCAAGGGCTGCAACCTGCGGTCCTTCGGTGGCGTTATTTTGACCCACACCATGTCCAGGACAGGAGCGTGAGGGCACCACGCACCCCGCGGCCTTGCCATCGCGGTAAAGGTTGGGATTCAGCCTTTCGCTGCTATTGACCTCGGCATGGAATGGGTGGTTTGCTTTTGGCCCGGAGAACATCCCAACAAGCGTGGATCATGAGGGGTGTCCGGAAGACTGGGTCAAAATCATGTGAAACCCTGCAGAGCTCTCTCACTTTTGCATAGGGTCCGAGAAAGGCCCAAAACGTGCATCCCGTTTGGACCCCTCGCATCGGCACGGCCCACTTTGGGAAGGCGATCGGCAGCCGTAGCAATAAAGGCCAACCTTTCGCGGCCACAAAAAATGGTCCAATAAGGAGAAACCAAAGGTCAAATAAAAAGCTGGGTTTTGGGCAAGTGAGACGATTTTTGGCGAGCCAGAGTGTGTGGGAAGAAGTGCGTCTCATAAACCCCCCCCATTTGCCCGCCAACCAAAAGGGGGTTGTAAAAAGAAGGAACCACACCGTGACACCCATTGCCCCACATCCCACCATCCCATCCAGTTGCTGGCGGCTTCCAAAGCGTGGTGTTTTGTGTCCTTTAAAGTGTCAGCAGGATTGGAGGTTGGCGCCCTGACATGCATATGCGCTTCTGAAAGTGAACTGCAACAGCTAAGATGTATCCTAACTCCATCTCATACGTCCTTTCCACTTTTGTTTGGTGGGGGATCGGTCCGCAATTGTTGGTCCGGTCTGCTTCTTGTTGGGTGCCACTGTTCCAGGGGCTCGAAAAGCCGAAGCCTTCCATGAACCACGAAGATTCATTCTGTCCATCGGATTTTGGCAAACGCCCCCGGTTTCTCACTTCCTGAGTTCAAACTGTTGGCTTGCCGTCTTCCCGCAAAGTTTTGAAGTCCAGGAACTCAGGAGGTAAGGTTTCCTCGGTTTCCTCTCCTATGGTGGCTGCTGCGTTTTGACCGTAGCGCTGGTACGGGGTATTTAGGAGATTATGTTCAATTGATTTTCGGGGGAAGCCCAAAGGATACCAACCAGGGCACCAACCATCTTTACTTGGTTGCTGTTGACCCTCTGCAAAAAGTGAAAATATAACTTGTTGTGGGTTTCATGGACAATCCGAACTGTCTCCGAAAACCCCTCACGAAAACTTCCACCCGACCACCTCACTTGCAGCAGGCGTGCATAGTTCGCGAAGTAGTGCACCAAGGGGGGCTCGGCAGGATACCTGGGCAGTGCAGAAAGACTCCAATGCCCCCGTTTTGTTCAGGGTAGTTCAGAAAGACAACAGGTTTCCATCATGGTAAATGCCTCATTTGTTAGCCAGGGGTTGACATGATACCCCAAAAACAACCTTCCCTTACAGGGTGTGTCCAAAAACACATACCAAAATGCTTGCCCAGATTTCTGTTGGCTTTTCAGCCTTTGCAGGGAAGTATGCACGCGCGCACACTCACACACCACACACCACACACCACACACCACACACCACACACCACACACCACACACCACACACCACACACCACACACCACACACCACACACCACACACCACACACTACACACACCACGCACACCACACACACACACACACACCACACACACACACACACACACCACACACACCACACACCACACACCACACACCACACACTACACACACCACGCACACCACACACACACACACACCACACACACACACCACACACACCACACACACCACACCACACACACCACACACCACACACCACACACCACACACACCACACCACACCACACACACCACACCACACACACACCACACACCACACACCACACACCACACACCACACACCACACACCACACACCACACACCACACACCACACACCACACACCACACACACACACACACCTGTGCCCATCAAAAAGCCGTCCCAAGATGTTGGGAAGCTTCCAGAAAAATATCAAGCTCCCTCTTCCATCGTTCAGCCCATCCGGTTGGTTCAATCAAGTGGGGCGCAATGCACAAATGGCCTTCTTGACGAAGGAAGTCCACCCAAATAGATCTGCCTCCTCTCTCATATCGCCATGGTAGCGCGTCACATGGACCCAGTCTCAATCTGATACAGGTCAGAGGGGGACAAATTGGCCGATGGGAGGGTTGGGGTTAAGCCTTGGTCTTTACAGATTGACATCCAAATAGATCCCCCTTTGATCCTACGCTTGTCAGCCCAAAGAGACCCCCTGGAAATGGTCCCCAAAAGGAACCCCATAGACCCTAGCAGTCGCTAATAGCCCCCATTGGGATTGGGGGACCCCTATTGGGGGGTCGTTGACAACCATGGGATTTGGGGACCCAAGTTTGGACGGATCAAATGGTACCAGCGTCCTTGAGAACGATGCGATGCCCAGCCTCAAACGCCATTGTTTGGGTGGCCGATTCTGAGAAAACCTCCCGCTTACGGGGGGGCAAAAAAAACAATGAGAAACCAGAGGGGTCTGCAGATTTTCGCCGGATGCATGATTCGACCCTTCTTCTTTTATTTGGTAAGTGCTTGCTGCCATAGGGATCCAGATCAAGCGACGGCGGATCGGATGCTCGAGTAAAAACCTCCCTTGCCAGTCAGACAGGTCAACAGTCCCGATCTCTGAGCACCAGGCTGGGGAGACAGCGCCAAGTCGAAGAAGAAGGGCACATCCGCGTAGGGGGTGCCTGGGGGCCCCACCACCTGCGCGCTCCGACACCGATTTCTCAGAGGTAGCCCAGCAACCTGCCAATGCTCAACAAGAGATGAAGTCCAGAAAAGCAAGAGGAGACTAAACATAAGTCCAAGAAGCATCACTTCAGGAGGAACTTCAGCTCACAAGCCCCCAAGCCGACTCTGACTCTTGCGTGGAAGGCGCGAGTCCCCTGAAGTTTCTCCAACACAAATCACCACCCCGGAATGAACGCCTTGTTCCCATATTCAAAATCCCAGGTACCGTGGTATAAAAACATCCTTTACAGGATTGAGGAGCAAAGACTTTGGAGGTGCTGGAACAGGACATGGACAAATTGGCCCCCACTCCCCCAGGTATTTATGTCCAACCACTGACGGGCTCGCTATTGACTAGCCGCATCTATACTCGAGCCCAAACATTCAAATTGGTTTGTGAAGGACGAAGCCAAGATCAAGTCATGATCCTCTGAGAATCGTGTGTTAGTCAAGTGGAACCAAGGTAAGCTACAGGTAACCAGACAAAATTGCTCAAAATGCTAGCACTAGACAAACACCATTCCAATGCGATCTGGTAGGTGGGTCTTGTTTCATACCGAATAAGCAAGCTTAACACATCGGAACATGAATTAGGGGACCGAATCGGGGTGTTTCAGCGGAATCCGAATCGGGAAGTTGCCGGGCGCCTTCCTTGACTGTGTCCCAAATAGGGCGGACAGCCTTGAAAGCCGCCGTCCGTCCATGTTCCAAAATGAGAGTGCTCCAACAATGCGAGCCGCATATTCGTTGTGTTCCGTGCCCCAAACACACCCATGGATCGTTCATGTCCTATGGTCGTCAAGCCCCCCCCCCCCCCCCACAAATCCCCACAAGGGCAATTTGGGCGACACAAGCTTTAACTCGCTTCCTGAGTGGATGGCCACAAAAATCCAAAACCTCTTGTATGCCACTAAAAAGGGCTGCAAATCAGATTCAGGGCGAACTATGAAGTTCTTTTTTGGGCGCCCCGTCGCAGTTCCCCTTTGGGAGCCCCTCTGCTGCCACGGGACCAGTGGATGCGAAACATCCGCAGAATCCAAGCTGGCTAAACAATTTTCCTGGTGGTTTCCCTTCAAACGCCCACACAACAAGGGGTACCGAGGAAAAAATAAGAAAAGTAAAACAACAACGCGCGACTCCCCAAGAAAAGTCGCCCCTTCGCTCGGCTTGGTGGCTTTTGGCCGCGCCATGGCGCGGAAGAGGTCGCTGCGGGAGGCGTAGGTGCGGACCAGGATGGGGGCGACCACCCCTGGCACCGGGCAGTTTGAAGCGAGGCCGTTTTTCGAGTTGGACCCGTTGGAGTCGATGCGTTTCTTCTCAAGGCCGCCACTGACTGCCTGAGTAATTGGATGGGCAAACAAAAACAAACACATTTTTTTCCTTTACCTTCAAACTGGACTTCCCAAAAAGTGACTAAAGAACAGGAACTCGGGAAGTGAGGCCTTTGGGGCCTTGGTCTCACGACATGAGAAACGTCTCCCGACTTCCGCTCGCCGGCCGCCGGCCTTCACCGCCTGAAAGACCGCTACGAAGCACCGACATCTCTCGCCTGCGCTCAGATCACGACGCTTGGGCACTTGGAGTCTCCTTCCGACCCTTCAAAAATGGGGTCATTGCCCAAAATAAAGGGGTCATGGACCCATTTTCAAAGGGTCATGGAGACTCCAAGATCTCTGTTTTTCGTTTGTCCACGCCCTTGCTCGAATATTGGCACATGAAGCGAACAAAAACAGAGTACAACTTGCGACATCCTGTGTGCATTGGCCCAAGAGAGTCTGAACTGCTTGCTTCCCAAAATGGTCTACCCGCAAGTTTAATGCCCACTAACTGGGAAAGTACAAATAATTTCAAGACGAACCCCGCCCCCCTGAAAAAGGAAATGGCGCCTCCGCCATCGGAAAAGAGAGCAAGTCAACCTTCCAACTGCAGCAGCGAGTTGTGTGTTCTATGCCAAGCGAATGCCTTCAAACTGGCACGCACTCCGCAACTGATTTGTCCCAAGTTCAGAATCCTAAGTACTGTCCAAAAAGCATCCTTTAAGGGGTTCCAACTGGGAAAATCAGCCCTTGGCTGGAGGGTGCTGGTGAGGATGCATGTCATAGACTGTCGATGGTGTGCAACCGAACCATGTAAATCCGTTGATGTTCCTAGCCACTTGTCACTTGGGTAAATTTCTATGTGGGGGGCCGCCTGTTCCATTTTTCGGCATTAACCATGCTCGCCGTTGAAGCCAGCTCGGACGGTCAAACTGAGCTAAAATCGAATAGTTGAGGAAACATTGACACTCGGACGAGCATTTGTCTATCTACCTGTTGACTCGACACCCCTCAGGAAAACAAGTCATATGCATGGGTTTGTCTTTGTATGATGACACCCCCTATCTTCAACGACAGCTCGGGCGCTTTGCCCTCGCTTCGCGCACGAGGTTCTGCCAAAGCGGGTTGCGGGTGCCAAAGAACGTCGCCCAGTGACCCTGGTAGAAACATGGGAACTACTTGTTTGGGGGCTGACCCTTTGACGGAAATAAAGCAGACACAAAATCAATAATTGCTTCTAGTAGAACTCCCCTGAAATAAATTTCCTTTTTCGATCCCCTGAAAACCAACTGGGGGAAAACACAAGGCCAATGGCGGCCCAGGTGAGTTCACTCACTCTCTGGGTACCTTCTCAGGTACTTTGACCCACCCCAGTCAAAAAACAGGGGGCCCTTTGAGTGTCTGCCTCGCACTATTCTATGGATCTGCACAAATTTCCCCAGACATGACCCGTTAGGTGATAGATACCAACATTTGACCCGTTAGGTGGGTAAAATGCGGGTAAATATTGCATTCATGGATTGTTTCGGGTGCAGAAATGGAGAGTTCAGAAATGGAAAGACCATCAGCACTGGTGAGCATGTTTTCCTTTGGATCGGTAAGCTTGCTACAACTTAAGCCCGGAGCCATTTTTTTCTGAAAGCGTGCACACGCTTGCGACAAAGCTGATGATCGCACCCAGGAATACATGTCTGCAAACGGAACCTTCATGCCGAATTCCAGTGAACAGCAGACTTAGCATATTTGGGTATCAAAAGAATGGAACCTCAGAAAAGGACAGAAAAGGGGGGTTCCCTTTGAAGGTCCGTTTAAATCACCCTAAAACGGGTACCCTCAACACAAAGCACACCAATACCCATCGATTCCGTTCGGACGTCAGACCATGCCTCACGGCACGCATGAGCGCCTGTGAATCGCATTGAGCGAGCCGACCTTTGGCCCAAGTGAGGGGTACAACAAACAATCTTCAGATTCCCTTCCTGTCAATGCCATGGAACCCGCAGGGCTCCGCTCTCCACCCCTCGGTCAGGTTCCATGGCAACATGGACGGTAAGGGGACTCCTGCACCTTCACCAACAAGCATGGAAGTGCAAAGGCCTTAAGCCTAACCTCTTAGAAAGGGAGGTTGTGCATGGTTATGCACTTCCATTGGTGAGAGGAAATGTGTCATATTTAACCCCAAGATTCGAGACGTCATGTGGGCTAGACCATCCGCCACGGCTGGTTGAACAGTAGGAGGGTGTTCGGCCCCTCTTTGCAGTGTTACATTCTGCTAGGGGGAATGGTTCTGTATTGCAGGTGTCCTGCGCTGAAGCGGTGAATTCCAGAGCCAAAACGTGGAGGAAACCAGGAAGAGCCAGTGCTCTCGTTGGGATATTGCAGATATCCCCGAGAAAGAGAGGCCTGCAAGTGAGGAATCCATGCAAAGCAGCTTCGACAGCACCGAAATTGCAGTGGTGCATAGCGCTGGATGGGTGCCGGCGTGATGCTGGGATTGCGCCAAGCCAACACATGCATCACAAGCATGCGACAAACATGCTCGCGTCTTGCCGGCGTCGACTCCTCTTCAGATGGGTGGGACGTAAGGAAACGAGGCTGCAAACTAAGAGCTGCCAACGCCAGACGACCCACAACCAGCTTGCAGTGGGTATGTTCACTCCATCCACACCCAAAATCCCCACCCCAACTGGGAGAAAACTGTGAGATAGAGGGCAAGCAGCAACTCCTACCACTTTAGATGACGAAGAATATAGTCCCCATTCTCTTCACCAATCGTTCTTGCTAGCAGCCACCCTCTTCTTTGAGATTGGGCCCTTTGAAGAGAAGGATCCCTGAAAATGGACATGGAAGGTACGGCTAGAATAAGGGCCAGCCAATGTGTTTCCACAGGGACTTAAACAACAAAAAAGAAAGAACAACATATTTCGATCGATAGATTTCCTTTAAAGCCAACAGGGGGAGAATAAACATAGTGATTTCAGCAAGTGGACTCCTTCTGTTGGGAAAGACCATGTCACACCTCTGAGGGAAGTGGGGAGCTTGTGCTTCCAACTACCATTCGATGGCCCAAAAAAGGCCACCCGTACTGCAGTGACTACCATGAGTACGGGTTTGTCTCCAAGCAAACAAACACCCCCCGCATCCTGGCTGATCCCCACAAAGTGGGTTGGTCTCTCACTCGCAAAAGGCATGTTTGCTAGATGCTGGCGAGGA